TTGGTCACAATTGGGGAAGTGGTATTGGCATCTAGTGGGCAGTGGACAGGGATGCTGGTAAACACTGTACAATGCACAGGACAGTCCCCCAAACAAAGAAATATAAAACTCTAAATTACAACAGTGCCAATGTGAAATTCTGACCTGGAGCCTTGCCTCTCAAATGAACTCAGTTGTGGCCCCAGAGGTAAACAGAAGAGATTAAACATGTGACCTCTTCAGGAGAGTCAGCAGAGTCCATTTTTACTTCCAGATTGGTGGGTAAGGAGAGAGAAATCCTCTTTACCACTGCATATAAAGCAAACAAAATGCAAATGTCACATGAATAAATTTTTTAAAAATTCAAAACAATGTGAGCAGGAGTAGCTTCAGGCTTTACTCCCCAACCTCAAGGGATGCTTATTTACTCTCCTCAGCCTGCAAGCACTTTTGAAGTTAAGAAACACTTGCCTAGGGGCACGTGGGTGGCTCAGTCAGCTAAGTGTCTGACTTCAGCTCAGGTCATGATCTCACAGTCTGTGAGTCTGAGCCCCACATTGGGCTCTCTGCTGTCAGTGCACAGCCTGCTTTGGATCCTGTCTCCCTCTCTCTCTGCCCCTTCCCTGCTTGCACATGCACATTCTATCTCAAAAATAATAAACACGGGGGTGCCTAGGTGGCTCAGTCGGTTGAGCGTCTGACTCGGCTCAGGTCATGATCTCGCAGTTCGTGAGTTCGAGCCCTGCGTCAGGCTCTGTGCTGACAGCGCAGAGCCTGGAGCCTACTTCGGATTCTATGTCTCCCTCTCTCTGCCCCTTTCCCATTCATGCTCTCTCTGTCTCTCAAAAAAGTGAATAAACGTTAAAAAAAAATAAAAAATAAATAAGCATCAAAGAAAAAAAAAGAAACACTTGCCTAAAATAAGGTACATAAACTTTAGAATGACAAGCAAAACCTCATCTTTGGCTACCTTCACAAAGACTTTTAGGGCTATTTATTATAGCAACCTGGTCCAATCCAGGGCTATTCAAAGTATGGTCTGTGAACCAGTGAGCCAGTCTGAACTGTTTATCAGTTTACATCAGAGAAGTATAGAAACTGGGAGGACAGAAAGGGAAATTTTTATAGCAGAATAATTTTATGTCTGTTGGGTTGAATAAAAAATTGGGACTTGTACTTCCCCTTTTTATTTCATCTTCATTTTAAAAAATTTTGCTGTACTTTTCACAATGATATCAGTCAATAGGGGACTGGAAATTTTAAAAGGAAAGAAAGAAAAGGTCATTTATCAGTTTGAAAAACACTAATCTAACCATATCTTAACTGATATACCTAGTAAGTGGCAACGCCAGGATTTAAACCCATGTCTGCCTGACACCAAAGCCCATGCACTTAATCATTACACTATATTTCTCTGTTGTTATTACTTTGAACTCAAATCCCTATATGTAGTCCCTACCTCTGGAGAGCTGGACTGCACTAGGCACAAATCAAAAGGACTCTATGTCTGGCCCAAGGCTTTCAACACTGAAAGCAAACCAAACTGCCTCCTTGGCTCCTTTCCCCAGGCTCACACTCAAACTTGGCTCTCTTGATTTCTGATAATGCAAATGGACAAAACAATATGTATATTTCTCCCTAAGGCCTAGAGCAGTCACTAAAGGATAATATCTTCTTTTGGGACCCATCCTGGTTTCTATCTGGCTCTGAGAGGACATCCTCTCAAGGAGAAGGAGGTCCCAGATCTCTCAAACCACACTCCATGTATAGAGTACAGAATAAATGAATCCAAAATAAGAAAAAGCCACAAGGACTTAACAGCATTTAAAGTCTTCCCTTCTCAGACCAAGACCTCCACACTCTGCCAAAATGTTTAAAGACCTTCGACTTGACTCATCCATACTACACATCCTCCATGTGCTTTCCTAATTATTTTCCACAATTTTTTCCAATTAAAAAAAATTTTTTTATGTTTTTATTCATTTTTGAGAGACAGAGACAGGGCGTGAGCAGGGGAGGGGAAGAGACAGAGAGAGACAGAATCAGAAGCAGGCTCCAGGCTCTGAGCTATCAGCACAGAGCCAGATGCAGGGCTTGAAATCATGAACGGTGAGATCATGACCTGAGCCGAAGTCGGACGCTTAACCAACTGAGCCGTACAGGTGCCCCTTGACAATTCTTTTTTTTTTTTTTTTTTTTTAATTTTTGGGACAGAGAGAGACAGAGCATGAACGAGGGAGGGGCAGAGAGAGAGGGAGACACAGAATCGGAAACAGGCTCCAGGCTCCGAGCCATCAGCCCAGAGCCTGACGCGGGGCTCGAACCCACGGACCGCGAGATCGTGACCTGGCTGAAGTCGGACGCTTAACCGACTGCGCCACCCAGGCGCCCCAACAATTCTTAATAAAAATGTTATAACCCAACCTAATGTACAATATGTATAAAAAAAAATTAACACCCCCAAAATCCATACTAATTGCAATGTACTATTTTCTCTTTTCATTTTTTAAAAATTATTAGTAGAAATCCACAAAATGGATTTTAAGACCCATTAATAGGCCTCAACCTGCAGTCTGCAAAACACTGCTTTTAGAGACCAACAGTCTCTAACAGTATGCTCTCATCTGGCAAGCCCAACCCATAATCATGCTACCTTAAAATTCTACTCAAAAACACATTTTTTCCTACATCAGTGTCATGGTACAATAAATGTAATATCATTTACAGTCCAAATTTAGTTACGGGGAAAACACACACACACACACACACACACAAGGTTTTGTCTCAAAATTTAGTAAAATACATAAGTTAAAAACTTTCAAACTCTTGTCAAAAATTGAAAAGAGCTTATTAGCTCAAAATGTAAAACATGGTTTTAAGCTGGTAGTTGTCACAAAATATTTCACTGGCAAATCCCAGAATAGAATATATACTGAATATATATATTATCAAATTACACAAAGTCTGAAACCAACCTGCTCTTCACTATCTTCACTCTGACTGGTCTTGTCATCTGACCACCCCCCATTATTGAGACCTTGGAAACCACAGATCTAACTCTTCCTCCTACCTACCTACGTGTGTGTGGTCATTAACCCATCACAATTGCTCTAACGTCTGTCAGGAGTCCTACCTTGTGTTAGGCTAACTCAGAAGTTCTGGCATAGACTTACTTATTTCTATGGGAAAAAGCACAAATACAAAAACTTTTGAAACATAATCTACGGATAACCCTACCTTTCATGTAGTTAATGCACTGAATGCCTGATCTCCAAATCAAAACCAGAAACCAAAAATTCTTAACCAAATTACAAAAATATAATGCCCTTTCTGTAAATTAAAATCTACTTGACATAAACATAAAATAAATCTCCATCACCAGTTATGAGCTTCAAGTCTGTAAGCCTCAGAGGGTATGCGATATTTTTAATAACTGTATTAACAGGGCCTGGCTCCACCATGTTGTCCCACCACAGAAGGACGCAATGCTAGCATACAAACCATCTATGTAGCTTTCACATTTATTTCATAGCTCCACTCAACCCCATCTCCTCTAGCCCCACCCACTGAACAGCTGGGTGGGATGAAAGATTGTTTCCTGCCCTCCCCCCTGCCCCTTCACTAGCTATTTGGGAGGAATAGGGTTCCAGGCAGCAGTAACTAGCTTAGTAATTGTTTTTATCCTGCTAAGGCACCATCCTGCAGTCTATCAAGATCATAAATTTCGTCCATCCCTGTACACTTGATGCCTAAAAAGTTTCCTCCTCAACTTGCTTATATACTTGGTGAGAGGGAGATAAACTCAAGGGTACTCAGAAAGGTATTCTTACCAGAAGAAATCTTAAAGTTTAACTATAACCATAAATTCGCAAAAAGAAGTTATTTCAGTAACCAAGCGAACACCTGGACGTCACAAATTCCTTCCCTACACTACAAAAACAAAACAAAACAAAACAAACAAAAAAAAAAGAAAAACAAAAAACCCAGGTTTGAAACAGGACACTTTCAAAATGTAACTTAGCAAATGGAAACGTATTAGAAAAATCTCAGTTGCTTATTTCCTACTCTACACACAGCATGGAATGGAACTCAGGAGTGGAAAATGTGAATGAAATGGCCTTGTTCTTTTTCCAATACGTTGGGGAGGAAAGGAAATGAAAGGGTTTCTGAAGAGAATAACTAAGAGCAGTGAAATATTTTCAAAAATTAATTTCCTTAAACATCACCAGTATTTCCAACTCCCCTCCCTTCTCCAGCGACCCTTCCCACCCTTCCCACTCCTCCGGGGGGCGCCCTTCCCTGGCGTTCTTTTCCCCTTTTTCCTAAAAATTAGGTCCAAACCAGCCTCCTTAGCCTCCGCACTCAAGCCTCGCCCGCCATCCACTGGCCTTCGGGGCCGCGCCTGGGGAAAGGAAACCCCGAGAGACGAGGAGGAGGAGCGAGGAGGCGACGCGGTTGCTGGAGCCTCTGCAGCCGCCGCCGCCTCCACCGCAGCTTCAGCCTGGTGCATCCTTCTTCCTCCCTCCCCGCCGCCGCCCTCCCGGGCCGGCCCACACAGCACCCTCACCGGGGCGCGCACACACGTCCCCACCCTCCTCGCCAGCCCCACTCTCCCACGAGGGGAGATCCGCCGCGGGTGCAGCGGCCGCCGACGGGAGGAAACAGGGCCGCGGGAAGCCGGCGGGCCAGGCGAAGACGACCCTGCTCGGGCCGCTCTGGCGGGGCGAGCGAGGCCGCGGCTCACGTCTCCCGGCTCCCCTGGCCCGCCCGCCGCGGCACAGGAAATACCGCCGCCTCGGCTCTCTTCACATTCAATTCAAACTGTCACCGCTGCTTTCTCCCCTCCCCCCGGGCGCGCCGTCGCCGCGCCCCGGGCCCGCAGTCGGCCCACCCCACCTCCTCCGGCCGCTGCTCCCTGCATCGCCTCAGGGCGTTACCCCAGTTCGGTCTGGCGGCCGCAGAGCCCCCCCCAAGTCTGGAGCCGACGACCTGAGTCGCGGCGGCCCAAAGCTGAGACTCACCCATGGTGCTGCTGTTGACGCTCCTCTCCTCAGCAGCAGCGGATCTCGCACTGACCGACATCCCCTCCCCCCTCCGCGACCAGCCCGGGCGCAGCGCAGCCCGCCGATTCTCTAAAGCCGCCTACGCCGGTTCCGCGGCGTAGCCGCCCGGCGTCGCTGCCCCGCTTACGCAGGCGACAGCGGGCGGACTCCTCCACTGGCTCTCGCCCGAATCCCGCTCCCTCCTCCGCCCCCGCCCCTTCAGACAAGGCTTCCGGGCCTAGCCGACGCCAGTTTCGATCTCGCGAGAGTACTCCCTCACCTCCCCGCCGCCTCGCTCCATTTCGAACATGACTTCATTGGCATCACTGCTCTTCTGCTGCTCAAGTTTAGCCGCCATGTTTAAATTGGCGGGATTTGGCACCTCCGGGGTCGTGGATAGTCGGGCCTCTGTGCGTGTTCCTGCAACACTGCTTCTGAGGTTAAACTGCGTTACGTTTCTCGGTGAAAAGCCCGGGGACGATGAGAGGGAGTGACCGGTGGGCTGCGAGGGTGGGGTTTTGCCCGATTTAAAGATGGCCTCTGTCAGTGCCGCCCCGCTCAATTTCACGTCAGGTTTTGGAGCTGCGGAAGCCGCCTGGTTGGCCTTAGGGCCTTCTTACGGAGTTGGCGTAAGGCAAAGAGGCACCCTTGGAAGAGGCCAGATTGGGAATCTGCGCTTGGGGCTGGAGCCGCGTCCAAGCCTCCACTCCCAGATAACGACCTGGCGGCATTGTGGGTGCGAGTGGAGAGACACTTCGAGGCAGGTGTCTGTGTCTTCACCCATCCCCGTGTCCTAGCTTCCAGGACTCTCGGGGTGGAAAGCGAGATTAGGTCCTGGTTGCCCCCACATTCCCTTGGCGCTGTCACTTTCTGGTGGCCTGGCACAGCGAAGAGGTCGCCTGCTGCAGCTTCCGCTGCGGACTCCCCACAGTTACACTCGTGTTAGCTCACCTTGTTGGTTACCGATTCGCCCCTGGTGGAGCTCCACTCTGATTAAGGAAATGAATGGACACACGGGAAGCTATTAGGCGACAGATGAAGAGTAATTAAGTACTAAATGTGTAGTTTCATACTGTAGCAGTGAATGTCGTTTGGTCACTGGAGCCTGCCGCCAAATGCTTAGTAGTCAAAGTAGTCTCACTTTGCCCAGAACAGCCTATGGTCGTTTGTACCTTTCTTGAAAACTAATGTCTGTCTTCGCTGTAGAGTTCATGAACATTATCTTTCCTGTTAAATTGTATGTTAAGGAATCCTATACATTTAATATAGAATATTACATAATACAGAATACGTATGTAATATATAATTATCCTGAACCCGCGCAAGAATGTTCATAGCATTGCTTTTTTAGTGCAACAATTTAAATGTCGACTTACAGGAGAATGGATGAATAAGTTGCATTATTGGACAAACTGACATACACGGAATATTAAAAAATGGAAATTAATAAACCAATGCTACTGGTGTTCATTTAAAGTTCATTAACATAATGTTGACCCAAAAAAGAAAGTTGCAGAAAGATTTATATGGTACGTCATAAAAGTTTAAAAACAAAAAACTGAGATCAAATTGGGAAAATCATGTAGGGAAATGATAGATGTATTCAGAATAGTGGTTAGTTCCTGAGAAGAAGAGAAGGGAATGTAACAGGGAGGATTCACTCTTATCTATAATGTTTTATTTTCTGCCAAAGGTAATCTGTTGAAAATGTGGCAAAACCTTAAAGCTTAGGTGAAGGATACACGAGTAGTAAATTGTAACTGTTTTCTGCACTCTTCTGTATACTTGAAATGTTTCCAAGTATTTTTTTATGAAGGAAGTTTTATCCAAAGAAACACCTTATTTTGTGTCTTGATATCTGTTTCCTCAGCCTCCACTTGTACTGAATTGCTCATAACGTCTGTTAACAACTCATCTGCCCAACCAATCATTGTGTTAATTTTCTGAAACTTCAAAGGGCATTTTACTTGGGGAAATTTCATTAAATTTCTACTTTGAAAAGGAACTAAGTATTGCTGGAAGTTTAAACCTGTGGCCTCTGAAGACAGACTGCCTGGCTTCTAATCTCCATGCTACCATTTACTATGGATATACCCAAGGACAGGTTGCTTAACCTTTCTGTAATCTAGTTCCCTCTGCTATAAATGGGAATAATACTTACCTAATGGGGTTTTTGTGAAAGTTAAATATGCCCAGTCCATAGTAAATACTTAGTAAATGTTATTTATTATATACAGCTCATTTTAAAGTATAAAATTATCTTGTATAATATTGTTTAATATAATCTAACAGTCTATAACAAAGTCTTTGCTTCCCATCTCTATTGATATATTTATTTGGGGGGGGGTCTCTTAATGGAAATGAAATTTTGTTATTTTGCTCTCTGAAAGTGGATAAATTCTCTATATAAATAATAAGTAGTTTGCCTGAGGTTTGTTCATGCTCTCCTACAAACTGCACCCCATGCAATAATAGCTTCACTACTTTCCATTGAAAATTATGTGGAAGACTATATAAGCAATGAGATGATGACAACCTATGGAATTTTGTCCATAAGGAATTCTCATAGTGTTATAAATTGTGTGTGTGTGTGTGTGTGTGTGTGTGTATGTGCATGCATGTGCACACATATATATTATGACTCTTATGTTGGGGGTGGAGAGAGTAAGAGAATTATTAAAATAGTTTTATAGTCTCTACTGCACTGTCCACAGTATTACATTTGTTAATAAAATGTAGTCTAGACCTTAACCTGATTCAGAATCATCTTTTAAAAACTGATCCGAAACTCTGGATAGACTGTAGAGATTGTTTTTGCTACACATTTACAGTGTCCAACCTCAAACGAGCCTTCAACTTTGCCAAAGAATACTTGCTTCCTTAGTTAGCCCTCTTTTTCCACAAGAACCACTTAGATTTTCTCCATTGTTTTCAAATCATCACCCTCATTTATTATCAGCAAAAAATAAAGCCTATCAGAGAGGAAATCCAATGACTTTCTACTCCCATATTCAGAAGCCTACCTGCATCCACACTCATCCTTTACAAACATCACAAGAGATCAGGTGTCCCCCAAACCTGAAGCACATGTTTCTACACATATCCTCTCTCTTCATGCCTATTCTCTGGATTCTGTCTCCTACCTTCCCAGGAACTTCACTCAATGAATTATTTATTCAATATGCTTCTGAGTTTTGTCCCTACTGCTCCACTGAAATTCTCAACAGGGTCACTAACAACTTCTTTATTCAATTCAGGGGACCCTTTTTTCTGTTTCTTTTTTTCCACACAATTTTTAAAAATGTTAGTTCCAGTATAATTAACATACAGTGTTATATTAATTTCATGTGTACTATATGGTGATTGATCAGTTCTATACATTACTCAGGGATCATCATAAGTGTGCTCTTAATCCTCTTTATGTATTTCACCCATTCCCCACCCCCTACCCCTCTGGTAACTATCACTTTGTTAAGAGTCTGTTTTTTGGTTTATCTCTTTTTTCTTCATTTGTTTTGTTTCTTAAATTCCACATATGAGTGAACTCATGTACTACTTGTCTTTCTCTAACTTCTTATTTCACTTTGTATTATACTCTCTAGATCCCATCCATGTTGTTGTAAATAGCAATATCTCATTCTTAATGGCCGAGTAATATTCCAATGTGTGCATATGCCACATCTTTTTTTTTCTAATGTTTATTTATTTTTGAGAGTCAGAGAGATAGAGTGTGAGTGGGGAGAGGTGGAGAGAGAGGGAGACACAGAATCCGAAGCAGGCTCCAGGCTCTGAGCCATCAGCACAGAGCCTGATATGGGGCTCGAACTCATGAACCATGAGATCATGACCTGAGCTGGAGTCAGACACTTAACCAACTGAGTCACCCAGGCACCCCTATGCCATATCTTGTTTATCCATTCATCTATTGACGGACATTTGGGCTGCTTCCATAATTTGGCTATTGTAAATAATGGTGCAATAAATATAAATTTGAAAACTGTTTTCAAATTAGTGTTTTCATATTCTTTGGGAAAATACCCAGTAGTGGAATTACTGGATCATATGGTAGTTCTATTTTTTTAAGTTAAAGTCCATTTATTTATTTTTGAGAGAGAGAGAGAGAGAGAGAGCACATGAGTAGGGGAGGGGCAGAAAGAGGAGGGAGAGAGGATCTGAAGTAGGCTCTGTGCTGACAGCAGAGAGCCCAATGCAGGGCTCAAACTCAAAAACTGTGAGATCATGACCTGGGCCAAAGTCAGAAGCTTAACTGACTGAGCCAGCTAGGTGCCCCTGTTCTATTTTTAATTTTTCGAGGAACCCCCATACTGTCTACCACAGTGGCTGCACCAGTTTGCATTTCCACCAACAGTATGCTTGAGGGTTCCTTTTTCCAGAGGACTTTTTTCTTATTTTACTTGACATGTCTGCAGCGTTTGATACTAGTAACCATGGCCTGCCACATTTACGTCCTTTGATTTGTGAAACCCACTTACCTAGCTTTCTTTCTGGATCTCTGGCTTATTTATTTTACCTTCTAGGACTTCCATCTTCTGCCTGTCACTTAAATGTCCATGTACCTCAAAGTTGTGCCCTAGTCAGTTTCTTCCTATCCCACTTTATATACTATGATGATGTCATACACTTCCATGTTTTCGATGACCATATATATGCTAATAACTCCTAACTGTAAATGTCTAGTCCAGTTCTCTCTCCTTACTACAAATCTGCATACCTGACTGCCTTCAAAATGCATATCTTAATATTCCAAGGTATCTCAAAACAGTATATCCCAAATTAAACTCCTCATTTTCATTATACTTACTTTTGTGTTCCCAATCTCTAAATGATATCATCATCAACTCAGCTGCCTAACCCAGAAATATGGGTATTACACTCAGCCTCTCCCTCTCATTTCCTACAGCCATCAGAAAGTCCTGTCTGTTTTTCCTTCTCATATACCCCCAGTGTCTCCATTTCTCTCCATCTCCGCCAATACTGTCCTGGCTAGGCCAATATTATCTCCTGCCTCAACTCTGTAATAACGTTTCTGCCTGGTGCCTTGTTCTACTCCAACTCATTCTTCATATTGTACCCAAAGTAACCTTTCTAAACTTTATGTCAGTCCCCTGTTTAAAGTCTTCCAACTTGCCCTCAGGGAACTTACATGATGTAGTTCCTC